TTAGAATTTTGACATGCTAAATGTCGAAAGTCGAAATATTTCTACATAGCTTAAAACAATTTCGACTAACAACACTATTTATACCTAACACATACTGTATTAGAGTCGATTATATACAGTCGCATTTCCATATAAGCATCTAAAGTACATCATATGAAAATTTGTTTATAAGTACTTTTATTTTTGAACAAAATTACTATCAAATAAAGGTTACGGATTAACATCCCGGAATCCATTTTCCTGAAATATCATTTCACAGAAGTGACAATCTATTACATAATTTTGATATCTCATTTTCCCAAAATATCATTTAACCAATAACAAATTTTCCCGATAAGTCATCTACCATTTCTCCGAACATCAAAACGATATACTATTATGTCGAAGAATCAGGTTTTCGGGAAATTAGTTTGATCGGGAAAATAAACTTCTATTGGAGAATAGACCGTCAAAATTATGTCTTATCGGAAAATAAGGTTATCGTATTATGGGATCAGAGAAATGATACTTCGGGAAAGTGGGCATCGGGAAATTGAAAAGAAATCCCATTTCTCTATATGAGAACATTTTTTAGCGAATTTCTATGGGCCCCACTGGTGTGACTATATGTGACTATGGGAGAGATGACTGTATATGATTATTTATTAAATTATATACTGTATATTTTAGTAACCAATTTGATTTATAACAATCAAATTTGAGAAACTTAAAACCTTTGTCTAGTATAAGTCTATTTTTCAACGCTCTCTTATTTTGAACATGTTTCATGCTTATACATACGGGTGGATCTTATCATGATCTCCACAAAGTTTACCACCGTATTTGCACATTATTTTGCTTTTTTACATACACAATATATACCACAATTAATGTTGTAAATTAGACATCATTGTTGTTACTATCCAGCCCCACACATGGTCATCACATGGATTCCCGAAATGATCAGCAGTATCATGTTGCCCATGGGGTAACACAACTCAAAAAAGGAAAGTGCGTAAAAATAGAAGTTTAGGATTAGGACGTTAGGGTTGTGAGCTTTAGCGATAAGTTGGAGATCCTTATATGTAAAATGTCATCACCGTTATTTTTATTAGTCCACAAAGGTCTATTTAAACACTAGTTTTTGAGTAATTTCGCTTTCTTTTCTTTTTTTCTTCTTTCGCACGTGTTCGGATTCTATGTCGGGCTGATCCGGAATACCCCGAAATTTGTGTTCTCTGATTGGCCATTTCCTTTTTAGAGGTTTGTATTACCTGCACAATAAGTGGATGCGTAGACATAGTTCATAGACAATTTACATATAAAATTTTATTTTACAGAAAATCAATTCACCGATAGATCATTTAACCGACAAGTTCATTCCTCACATAAATTATAACTTTACCTAACCTAAAAATGATTCTAACCTAACCTTAATAACTTAATAACTTAATAACGATAATAACTAGAATTATTTTGTTAGTGAAATGAGCTATTGATGAGTCTGTCTGTAAATGAACTGTGTGAAATAATTTTCCCGTAAGTTTGTTAATGAATTGTACCAAGATGTCTACGAAGTGACTGTATACGAAACAGCACCGAATAATTTTTTGTAAATATAGTTAGCTGGTATTGTTTAGTGCTGGCCTAATAAGAACCGGTGTTAGCCATTTTCCTTTGTTCACATACAATTAATTCATAGACAAGCTTTATTTTCTAGAAAATTGTTTCACACAGTTCATTTTTACAGGCAGACGCACCTTATCTATAGCCCATTTCACTAACAAAATAATTCTAGTTATTACTATTGTTGTGGTTAGAATATGTTTTAAGATCAGGTTAAGTTACAGTTTATGTAAAAAACTAGTCGATAAAATGATCTATCCGTGACTACAAAGGTAAGTTTATATGTGAATTGATTTTTTTGTAAAATAAATTTGCCAGGGAATTAAATTCTCTATGAACTAAGTTTGCAGATCATTTGTAGATCGAATTAGGCGAAATTAGTTTTGGACTTATATAGCTCAAAATGAAATTCTTCCGGAGAGAAAAACTATTATGGACTAAAATGTTTATTAAAGTAGAAAAAGTAAAAATGGGCTAGTAATAAGTAATAATTACTTACTGTATTTCTTTATCCAGTACTTACGTATTATTACCAATTATTACCAATTATTACTTATGACGAACGATTATTGTATTCCGACCTTCAAATGTAATCTAGAAAGTAATATTAAACTCAAACTAATCTGTTGATCAGATTGAATTTGCATACATTATAATATTAAAGAGCTTTAAAAATCTTGTTAGAGACTAACATGAGGTGTAGGCCAACTTGATTAACAGTCAACAACTAGCCAATCACATCAAGTTGTTCCACATCTTTTATTATCACTAAAAATAAGAGGAATAATTTTTAAAAAAAATGACGATAAGTAATAATATGTATATATTAAATGATTGACGGTGACATGTGGGGTAACTTTAATTAATAATAAATGACTGCGACTTCATTAGTAAAATTTTTTGATGATATTGGACAAAGGATTCATCCAGATCTACGTTCATAGAATGAAATGATTCTAAATTGGGATTTACTCTGTTGATTTCATATGAGGTTAAACCTTGCGATCATCTTTGTTTTCAGTTGGGCGACACTCATATACTTAAATGATAAACTGAGACTTTAGAATCAGTACTAAAAATAATGTTCTTATTCTATTTGAACTTCCATTTCAATATTAGAAAGATGTTAGGATTGTCATTTTAATCACTATAAAATACACATATATCCGTTTAATTTTGTTCTTTTAAGTGCCATTTTTTGGATTTCAACGCTATTCTTTCTGAAGTACTTTGTCTCTTTATTTTTTATTTTTTCTGCTAAATCCATAATTTTATATAATACTTTCTTAATCATATAATCGTAATATAAGATGACAATAGATTATCTATCACAAGATCTGTGCTGGCTTCTTGATGAATCAAATGATCATAATATATTAATTTATGCCGGAGAAGTCCCAAATACCAAAACTTTTAAAGCTCACATTAATATTCTTAGGGCAAGATCTTTGTATTTTCGTGCTGTCTTATCTAGTAAACTTTTATCAAGTAATTTCAAAAAAGATCCAAATAATTCGTTTATAACAGAATGGTATCAACCAAATATTTCTCCAGAAACATTTGAAGTTTTACTTAGGTAACTTTCAATTCAGTCTACGTACAATATACCTTGACGTATATTTACTAATAAATTTTTCCTTTGAAAAGATATATTTATAGTGGAAGCCTTAATATAGATGAAAGTAACATAGAGAAAACTCTCGATTATCTCATAGCAGCGGATATATTATGGCTTCATCAACTTTTAGAATTCCTTCAAACATATTTAATTAAAAATCATTCTGCTTGGATAAAAGCAAATTTCGTTAAAGTATATCATCTTATGCATCTTCATCCGACCACGTTCAAAAAACTACAACAATTTTGTAAAGTGATTCTATCAACGGATTCTAAAATTCTTTTCGATTCTCCACATTTTACGTCATTCACTGAAGAAGCGTTTATTTCTTTGCTTAAAAAAGATTATTTAAAAGTTGATGAATCATTTCTTTGGAGTAAAATCATTGAATGGGGAATAGCACAAAATCAACAACTCCTTAATCCTGATGTGTCAAGTTGGAGTGTGAATGATTTCTCTTATTTACGAATAACCTTATCAAAATTTCTTCCTCTTGTAAAATTTGAAGATATGTATTTTGAAGACTTTATCGAAAAAGTACGACCATACAAAGTCTTATTTCCGTAAGTTGTCCATTTTCAATTATATATATAGTATATGAAAATTTATATATTCTAATAAACAAACATTTTTATTTACATTTTCCTAAAATTAGTCTTGACTTTTATGAGAATCTTAATTATCGCATGGGTATGTTTCAGTGAAATGTGACAATGACTTCATCCGAACAACAACGATCATCTAACGATGAAACCTTTATTTCTTCGTCTACTCCTCCTACATCTATATATACATTGTATTCATATTTACAAATAGAATCTACAACACAATCACAACCCTTATCCCAATCCTCGAAAACTCTATCGATGGCTCCAATACAACAAATGAGATCTCAACCTCTAATGTCATCGTCACAACAAACGAAAACTCAGTCTATGTTTCCGAACCAATTACAAATTACGTCATCTGGACAACAGACGAAAACTTTAATTCTGTCTCCACCACTATCTCCAACAAGACCTTTATCTCCAACAATACCTTTATCTCCAACAAGGCCTTTATCTCCAACAAGACCAACAAGACCTTTATCTCCTTCGCAAAAATCAACTCCGTCTATGACTCCTTCACGATCTTTGCCTACACAATCAAACAAATCTCAATCTATGCTTCCTAAATCACTATCTCCACCACTATCTCCACGTAAACCAACACAATCACTAAGTCAACAACGATCTTTACCTTCATTTCGATCAGTTCAATCACAACCTTTACCCCCTCAGTTACAACAAGTACGGGATTCACAACCTCCATCACCGACACAAGAACTAGAAAATCTTAACCTAAATCCATCGATTTATAATAACAATTCAAATAATAGTTCTTCAACAAAACTACATATTCATACATCCCCTGATCCAAAATCAAGTAAATCAGATGATTCCTTATCACCTATCATAGAGACTCTTAGTCCAATGTCAAAAAAAACTTCATTTGCATTAGTAACAAGAGCTGACTTGGCATTAATAGCTGGATGGATTGATGGTTTAGATTTATCATCACCTGAAGATGCTTCATATGCAGTTACTGATGTTCCATATAAGTTTAAATTATTAGCTCGTGGATCTCGACATGGATTTAGCGACAAAGTATTTCATAAAAGATGTGATAATAAAGGACCTACAATAACTGTTATAAAATTAAAAGATATTAATGATATAGTTATTGGAGGTTATAATCCTGTGAAATGGCAATCACCATTAATGAGAAAATTTGAAAAATGTCATCATAGTTTTGTATTTTCATTAAAAACTAATGGTGATGATAAAGATTCTGCAAATACAAAAGAAATGCAAGATGATGAAATTTTAGAAAATAATTTAGCTAGTAAATATAATATAAATAATCGTAATTTAATAATGAACACTACTCCTTTTAAACATGAATCTTCATTTAGTAGAGTTTCTTATTCAAAATATGCTATTAATTTATCTAAGAGTACTGGACCAGCTTTTGGGACTACGGATTTGATAATGAAAGATGGTGAGATTAAATGTAAACCTGATTGTTATTCTTTAGATTTCTTGAAAAAAATTGAAGGTGAAACGGATACATTTGATAATGTAAAGAGTTATAAGATAGAAGAATATGAAGTATATCTTTTGTTGAAGAGAAAATAATTTTTTAATTTTTTTAAAAAATTTTTTTTATTCATATTACATATTTTTAATTTAATTATTCTATTTTAATAATGTGTATATTATGTATATTTTGTATCTTACTAAAAAAAAAATAATAATAATAATAAATTCATCAATCGTTATCAATTCATTTTAATGTATAATTAATGGAAATATATGAAAGTAAAAAAGAAGTGAACGATGAATGAAATCGTATCGTATTTAAACCATACATGAAAGAAAAATCAGAAATTTATGCCTTACTCTGGGTAGAAACTAAATTGTCAAAAAGTTAGAATAAATTTTGAAATTAAACAGTTCATATTATTCAATTATTATAAACGTTTTAGTTACATAACAAATGTATGGATGGCTACGAAAGCATACAACATTTTGATGTAATCGAAACTTCTGTTATCATCATTTACGTATCGATGAGACAAGCAAATATATATATTTGAATTTGTTGCAAAAGCAGTGAGAACATTTAGAACCTAATAATGAAATATTTTAAATCTTGCCATCATCATAAAATGACAGTATTTCTTTCATCCATGTAGCTTTTTTTTCAAAGATTGCCATCGATTTTGTAAACTTTTAACATTTCTTTTTGGAAATTTTCCAGCAAATTCTGACCAAGGAACTGAAGGAATTAAACCCAACATACTATCAATTAAGAGTTTATCTTCTTGCGTACTCCAAGGTTCACCTGATGTTGCTTTACTATTGGAGGTGGACGATTGTGAACTTGAAGATCTCTTGCGAGTAGACATGAGCTTTGTCTCCTGAGGTAATTTTTTCGGTGTTGTAGTTGTGCGTCTACGTTTTTTTGGCAAAGGTTCCTAGTGAAATAAGGAAAAAAAATAAAGATATTACACTGGCAATCATAAGTAGTGCAACAAAAAAAAAATTTCACTTACATCATACTACCTCCCGCAATTCCGGGCA